GTGCACTGGGCAGGGTTTTGCTTGGTAAGAAGTGAGAAGACATTCGTGGAGGCACCCACTGGGCCCTTCCAGAGAAGGGGTCCCTCGAATATCCATCGCTCTCCATCTGCCCCCGCACGTGTGAAAGCATCTGACTCTCATGGGTGTCTATATCCCCCCGCTGCCTTCTCTGTGAAGGACACACTTGAGATCCCTGACCTGCCTCTGGTTTTGAAATAAGCTCCCAGAATGTGGACCTGTGCATGAATGTGTGATGTAACTTTGCACATTAAGTGCGTAATGCTTTTAGGAAAACGCTGCCCTTTCCTCGCCTGCTCCCCAGCCCCCTGGGACCGGGTGATTTGTGGGCACATCTGTTGCAGGTGTGGAGAATACTCTCGGAGATATTCTTAGATCCTGGCCTGGGGTCTAGAGGTTGAGAAGCTGGCTCCTGGGACACAGTGATGCCGGCAGCCTCGGTCAAGTCACAGGAGTGAGGCAGGAAGGCCTGTGAGCAGGGCGGGTCCTGGGCAGGTGGCTGAGGGTTAGTGGTAGACTGGCCAGCAGGGACATCATACAGAACCGCTGGTGGGGATAGGAAAAGGAGGCAGGTACCCCCAACCCAAACACACACGTACATCCCTATCTCCCTGATACCAGTTACCAGATATTACCTGGTCCAGGCAAGCAGCTCCACCCCTCCCGGCCTCAGCGATCTCATTTGTATGGGAGGAGTACAGACCTGCTTAGCTCACGGGCCGAGGTTGTTCTGGCTGGTGGCACTTTAATTTACAGAGTGCCTGCTGGGTAACCAGCATTGTGCCAGGTGCCAGAAGGAGAGGAAAGGAAGATCAAAGAGGAAAAGAGGAGATGTCATTGTCACCGGCCCTGAAAGAACCCATCACTTCTGAAAATCTTGCCATGGCTCCTGAGGCTTCTCAGCATAAAATCCAAACTTCGTATCAAGAGTCACACAAAATTTTGGGATCCAGCCCTGGGACTTCTCTCAGACAATATTTTGTCATGCTCTTTTGCTATCCTAAAACAGAATTCAGGGAT